CCAGTTAAAAAGAAAACTAAGGATGTAAGAGAATTTGAGTAAATAGTACAAAAGTTCATGTGAAAGAATAAATATTTAGAATTGCCAAATTTGTTCAAAAAATACTACACTGAGGAAGTAGTGTGACAAAATAATTTTAAAAGATGAGGCCGTGAAAATGATGTCACACTGCTGTGTAAGAAAACAAACTTTCAATATAATGTGACAAAGTTAGGAGGAAAGCCACAATTATGGCAATTGCCAGTATCATAAAGAAGCATTTAACAGCAGATAAACTTCTGAATGTGCTAGTGCACACCCATCATACAAGTACTTGATGGATGGAGGCAGGAGGACCAGAAGTTCAAGGTCATCCTCAACCACAAAGTGAGTTCAGACCATCCTAGGCTACACAAGGTCTTAGCTGGGAAAAAGCAAGGTATGGTGACATAGGCCTTTAATCCCAGCATTAAGGAGGCAAAGACAAGCAGGTTTTTGTGGGTTCCAATCCAGCCAGGGCTACATAGAGAGATGCTGTCTCAAAAACAAACACAACAGCAAAGGTTTAAAAGAAGCAGGTAAATACTACTACTTCACTCACCTCTTGACCAGCTGAGGGAAAGAAAATCTAGAGACCCTGTCTCATTTCCTACATCAAAACATTCTACTCTGTGAGGCATGGTGGTGCACACTTGAAATCCTACCACCAAAGAGGCTGAGACAGGAAGGTTTTGAGTTTAAGGTCAGCTTGGGCTATATAGTAAAACCCTGAGAAAGAAAGAAAGAAAGAAAGAAAGAAAGAAAGAAAGGAAGGAAGGAAGGAAGGAAGGAAGGAAGGAAGGAAGGAAGGAGAAAGGAAGAAGAAAGGAAGGAAAGAAGGAAAGAAAGAAAGTTCACATGTTAAATGCAAAATGCAAAATCTAAATAAATACTAGGAAGAAAACAAAAACCAAAATCCAAAAGTAACTGTTCACCTTAGGCTAGGGAATATATTGTTTTTAAATTAATTTTTTATTAGTTCAAATTAGGAACAAGCTTGCTTCACATGTCAATCCCTTCTCCCTCTCCCTACCCTCCCCCAGACCTTCCCCTCAACCCCCTACCTGCCCCCCACCCCATCCACCCTCCACTCCCCAGGCAGGGTAGGGCCCTTGATGGTGGCTCCCCAAAGTCCACCACATGATCCTGGGCAGGGCCTAGGCCCTCCCCCATGTGTACAGGCCAAGAGTGCATCCCTTCACATTGGATGGGCTCTTAAAGTTAGGGAATATATTCTTAGCAAATAGGTAAAGGAAAAAAATTAATAAATTTGGTTAATAATACTTGAATAAATTCACCCTAAATAGGAGTAAGAAGAAATTGCTCAACCATATTCAACAAAATAAGTAGTCATTAAAAGAAAATTAAACATTCCAGGAAAAAAATGGGCAAACTCACAAAAGAGCAAGTATTCTTGACTAATGAACACATTTTTAGAAAACCTTAAAATCACAAAATAATGAAATCCCACTCAAAATTAAAAGTTGGCAAAGATTAGCTACCATAAGAGATATTGAAGAATTGGAAGGAATGAGCCATTAAATTGTTAGCAACCTAAAAAGGAATTTGGGGCAGCTTCCCTTATATGAGAAAAACTGGCACGTTTTTTGCTCACATAAAAAAACAACCAAACCAACAAAAATACCTACCTCTTTTTACATCAGCAAAAATTTGTGTCAGACATAAAGCTATGTTTTTAAGGAATTATGGCATACACACCTGAAGAATGATGCAATCATTAAATTGCTACAGAATAACACTTACTGACATGGAAAAGCACCTGCAGCATTTAAATAATAAAGGAGATTCAGGGGGCCAGGTGTGAATTCCAGCACCTGGGAGGCAGAGGCAGGTGAATCTCTGTGAATTTAAGGTCAGCCTGGTCTACAGACTGAGTTCCAGAGTTCTAAGACAGCCGGAAAGAAGATAACTCAGCAGGTAAAGTTGACTGCCTCCAAGTCTGAAAACCTGAATTTGATCTTCAGGACCCTCAATGTGAAAGGAGAGAACTGACTCCTACAAGCTATCGTTGGACTTTCACATTCAAGTGCACACACATATACATGTACACAAAAATAAAAAGATTAATCTTAAAAATTAAGACTATTCAGGACCTGTAAGAATTAAATTTTGTTTTTCAAAAATAGATGCAATATATACTAATACATGTGCAGGCAAACAGTAGACTGCTAGATGCCAAATGTAAAACTCATTAGCATACTGTGAGCTGCTGAGAGGAAACCCTTACTGTATTGCTAGGGATGACAACCCACACCGGGCATTCATCAAATGACTAAAGTAGAGCTGTATGATCCCACCCATAAGCTCGTTATGGGTTATCTCCAGAGAAGTTATTTCAGGAGTCAAAGACAACTGCACCCCATGTTCACTACGCCATTATGCAGAAGAGCCAAAAAGCAGAGACAAACTATGTGTCCATCAACTGCTGAGTGAATACAGAAAATGTTGCTCATCCATACAAATTAATGCTATTCTATCACATGTCAGAATGAAGTCCTGGCATTTGTGACAACATAGATGAAAGTAGTGATCATCAAGGAATAAGCCAGGCATTGAAAGACAGGATGGTTTCACCATGTAGATGGAACATGGAAAAGACCTCACAGATGTTTGAGAATAGAATGATGGTTACCAGTGCTGGGGTGACAAGGAAGGAAACATGAAACCTGGTTGGTAAATGGGAACTAAGCCATTGTAGACATGAGTAAGAAGTTCTGGTGAGCTTCATGGGAGACTTTGGATGGTGGTGGACTAGAGAGATGGTTCATCCAATACATACATACATACATACATACATACATACATACATACATACATACATAGTTGCCCTGCTAGCCTGCTGACCTGAATTTGATTTCTGAAACCCATTTAACAAGCCAGAGGCAGCAGTGCACACCTTTAATCCCAGCACTCCTACAGTGAGATGCCAGTGGAAAGAGGAGAGTCTCCCAGAAGCTGGTAGCCCAGCTAGTCTCACTAAGGCAGAAACAATAGAAACCCCTGTCTCAGCAGGCAGATGGAGAGAACTATCTCCCTCAAGTTGTTCTCTGATCTCCACATGTGCACTTTGGCACCGCCCAAACATGTATTATAAGCATTTTAAGTTGCCCTCACACTAATGTAGATATTAGTCAGTGAACACATATACAAACACATCCCATAGCACTCCATTAAATCTTTGCAATTTATGTATCAATTTAAAAATAAAGTTTAAAATCTATTGGCACTGTGTGGTGGAATTACAAATGACTTTACCTTCTTACTGTTTTTAATATAATTTTTATCTTTTTATATTTATAGTTTTATAATTTTCTATAAGAGAATAATAGGTTGCAAAGCAGAATCCTGTCCCTCTATAATTAGTATATTCCTAAAGATATATAAAGAAGCCCACCACTTTAAAGAGAATATTTAAGTTCACCCACCACTGAAAGGATATGGCATATTTTCAGCTTAAAAAGTGAAATAATTATTTCCTTGTATATGTTGTAATAGGAAGCCGGTGGGTTGATTAGCAGGGTACTAATTTTAAATTCTCCCCTGCTAAACAAAACAAATTAGCAGCACTTTTCTGTAATACCAATGTTTTGAAAGAATTCTCACTGGGCCAAATAATTAGTAATAAAGGTGATAAATACAGCAATAAAAGCGGTTGAAAGGTATTGACTTTTTTTTTTTCCCGGCATGGCTTTGCTGAGCTCTTTGAGCTGAGAGCAAAGAATGGGTTTGTCTGGAATGAAGCTGGATCTGGGGAGCCGAGTCTGCCAGAAATGAAGGAAGAAGGAAGATAGCTATCAAGATGGCCAACCTATTGGTAAGAAGTGCAGTGCCAAATACATGTCCTCCCTGTGTGTGAGCCAGTTGCCAAATGGATCATTATCACAGGAAGGATGAAAACAATGGTGTCACAGGGTATCCCTCCCCCAAGCAGCATAAAGCACAACCCTTGACTACCTCGGGGCACCTGGCACACATATCTCACCACTGAGGCCACTATTGGGAGTTCAAAGGTCCTTGCTTTCACAGACAAGCACTAAGGAAACAGGAATGTCAAAACAAGATTGTCTTTTCACTGGAAGAGATGTGTGACTTATTTTTCTACCCACAAGGTTGGGGATGGAGGTGGTTAATAACCAGGTGACTTATGATACCTGTAGGGCCAGGCCTTACCAAGATCCCACAGGCAGGATAAGAGGTTGCTAATAGTCTAGGTGACCTTTGCATTATCTGTATGTTCAGGGGCTCCCCCAAGCTCCCACAACCAGGACAAGAAGTGGCTAAGAGCTCAGATATATCTACACTATCTGTAGGACTAAGACCACACCAGATCCTCCCCTAGGCCCTTAAGATAACATATGTAGCCTATCTCTAGAACCCATCTTCATGGACGAAGTGACATGTACTACGAAAAGAGTTTCTTTGATGTAATTATGCCTCCTGTGCACAGGGGATTGTGTTACAACGGGAAACTTTTCTCAAAATTTCACTGCACTTAAATGTCCTATAATAAACTACTCAGGGCAGGGTAGTTTGAACCAGTACTGCCTAAGTCATGTTGAACCTGATTTCCTTCTTGCCTCACTCAGATTGGCATTCTGCTGGCTCTGGTGGTCACAGAGACCCCTATAGGTCACAAATGAGATGACATCAGAGCAAGGGCAGTTCTAGAATCATAAGGAACTCCTGACAAGGTCTACTGCTTGGGGAGAGGATGCGGATTAATACCTCTGGGAAGTTTTACCTGTTTCTTGCTTAGTTCTGAGGTAAGGAGTTAAAAGGTAGTGAGCAAAGGAGTGATATCTGTATTTGGAGTCATTTTTTATACTAGTGTGTATATCCTCCACTCTGAGAGACATTGTTCTAGATTAAAAAAAGAATCTGGCATGACAGGGGTGCCAACCTGAGCCCCCAACACTGTGACTGTGGAACTAATAACAGAATCATGGCTCTGTAGGGGTCACCTGAAGCACTGTAGCCGAAGTCCTTGGGCAAAGCAGCCAGCTTGGTATTCTTTTCCATCCATTATTGATGGGACTGTCTCTGTGTCTTGCACTATGACAGCCATTTCACTGTCTCGCTTCCCGAGCATGCTCCGGTCATTGATGTTGGCAGAGCCTAAAAGGACAAACAACAGAAATGAACAACTTCTCATGACAACCACTGCCAGTGGGCCAACCCTACTCCATGCTTCCTGGCTCACAACACCCCAGTTTTGTCAAAGTGATCTAGGGAAGATGTAGTTTAGGGAGGTAAGAGCCTCTATAGGATTAGCCCAAGTGTGGAACCTTGATCATTCTAAAGCAGCCTAGAATCATAGTGCCATCATCTTTATCAGTGATTAGCTTAGGAGGTAACATGTGGCACGGTTCTGGACCACAGACTATGAGAGCTTCTAAGAAAACAGAACTTTATACCATCTTTCCTATCCTTTGGATATTGACCTCAGAAGATCCATCATGAGGGGTAACCCAACAAGCCAGGCTGAAGGACAGAGTGAATGCTCATAGGCTGGAGAGATGGCTCAACAGCTACGAGTGCTTCCTGCTCTTCCAGAGGACCCAAGTTCATTCCCAGCACCCATGTCCAGTGGCTCATAACATCCTGTAGCTCTAGATCCAGATGATCTGATACCTTCTTCTGGCCTCCATGGACACCCACTCATATGTGTGCACGCATGGAGATACACACAATACACATACATGAAAACAATGGTAAAAGGAACTACAAAATGTTGTGGAGTATTGCTTTAACTATGTAAAAGTGTGTTGCATTTGTTTAAGGAAAGATTGCTACATTTGTTTATGCTGTATTTATTAATTATGCAAAGATGTGTTTCTGTTTCATCTTGCCTGCCTAAGGCACCTTATTGATCTAGTAAAAAACTGAACTGCCAATAGGTAGGCAGTAGAGGGATAGGTGGGGCTGGTGGGCAGAGATAACAAGAGAGGAGAAGAAAGAGAATAAGAGAGAAAGCTAGGGAGATGCCCAGGGATAGCCAACAGCAAGATATGGAATAGGGCATGCAGAATGAAAGAAAGGTAAAAAAGCCCTGAGGCAAAACAACAATGGAAAGAAATAGGTTGATTTCAGTTATAAGCGCTAGTGGGACAAGCATAAGATAAGGTCAAGGATGCAATACTAATATTAAGTCTCTGTGTCATGATTTGGGAGCTGGCAGTCCAAGAAAGCCTTCCACAACAAAATCTGGAAGATTCTAAACTAGTAACACTAGAGCATTCTTACATTGTTTATGAAACAATACATTCTCCTTTTTGTTTCACATGCTTCAGTTTTCTACATGCATCTGAAAAGATGCTGGCTAATTGAATTATGAAGGAGTTCAAAGAAAACAGCACACCATCCAGCTCAGTACAGAGGTTGGTGAGTTTTTGTTTTAAACAAAAACAAGAAAAAAACAAAAACAAGAACAAGCTTTCTAGTCTTCAAGTTATACAACAAGGAACATTAAATGCCAGGAATGCTTTCACAGTCCCTGGCTAATCTGAAATACAGTCTGCCATTGATGGCTGCAACTCTCCACCTCCACTTGTGTGGCAGGCCATAGCTTTGGTATCAACTTTCTCTATTTTGAAAACATTCAGGATGAAGTAGTGGTCCAGGCCTTTAATCCCAGCACTCGGGAGGCAGAGGGGGGCAGAGGCAGGCAGAGGCAGGCAGAGTTTTGTGAGTTCAAGGCCAGCCTGGTCTACTGGTCTAGAGATAAAACCTCAGTTCACCAAGGATAGTGACTTTCACTTGGAAAGGACCAATCTCATATATATATATATGTGTGTGTGTGTGTGTGTGTGTGTATGTGTGTGTGTGTGTGTGTGTGTGTGTGTACTAAGCACTCCTTTCTATTACCTGAGTCTTTATAATAGAAGAAACACTGTGGTGGATTATGGTAAAGCATAGATACGCACTAATTAGTTTTAGTATTACACCATGAGGTTTGACAGCTTTTTTCAAATGCTTTTTTTTTTTTTTTTTTTTTTTTTTTTTTTGGTTTTTTGAGACAGTGTTTCTCGGTGTAGCTTTGGAGCCTATCCTGACACTCACTCTGGAGACCAGGCTGGCCTTGAACTCACAGAGATCTGCCTGTCTCTGCCTCCCGAGTGCTGGGATTAAAGGCGTGTGCCACCAACACCTGGCTTCAATTGCTTTTTCAGTTAAAATATGATTACATAATTTCCCCTCTTGCCTTTTCTCCTTCTAGCCCTTCCCATGTTCCTTCCATTGTCTTTTCTCAAATTTATGGCCTCATTTTAATTGCTATATATTTATAACAATTTAAATGTTATATATGTTATAATGATATTGTCGTATGTATAAATGCATAAACACAACTTGTTTAGTTCATTTAGAGTTACTTGAATGTATATGATTCCAGGGCTGACCATTTGGTACTGGATAACCATCAAAATGTTATTTATTTGGGAGGTGGGTGGTGGCCCCCAAAAAGAACAAAGAGTAAGAACAAAGAATAACAAACAATATCTTGACTCCCTACATGGGGCTAGAGTAAAAGAAAATCCAACACTATCTAGCTAGCCAACCTGCTCCAGGAATCACTTTCTCTGCATACCTTATACTGGGATTGCAGGTGGATCACCATGCTCTCCCAGCATTTACATGGGTTCTGGGGACATGAACTCTGGTACTCGTTTTATCAAACCTGAGGCTCACAGCCTGTGCCCCAAGCCACACATCCTCAACAAGTCAATTAAAAGAGCCAGTTTAATAATGGAAACAAACAAAAAAAAAAGAGATTTATTCAATGTGGCCATCTTGAGAAAAAAGAAACCTAAGTGAAGCCCCTAATCCATCTTCAGGGTTCTGCAGTAAAACTGTGAAATTTAAATAGAGCCAAGGTTATGAACATCTAAGCAGTGCCCATCAAGGTGTAGTCCTCCCTCCAACCCCGCCCCCACTGACTCATCATTGTGGGCTTCAGTCTCTTGCTGTGAGGTGGTCTGGTAAGTTGTTAAAACTGAAATCTCTTGCTAGGAGACAAATTCCTGGCTGGCTGCAGTCTTTTCTTTCTCCCAGCATGCCAGAATTTGAGCCCCATCAGCTTTGGCCTGAGGGTATTTCTTGGGCCCTCTGACCATTAAGAGTTAATAATGTACTGCTTGGAACATGGCAATATGCCCAGGATGGCTTAAAAATTGTTTGGTCTAGTGCCCTTGTATACACAAAAACTAACAGCCTGAAAACATGCTTCTAGTCATTTGCTTCTAGATTCTTAAAATTTGGGTTATGGAGTTGACAAGTAAAGATGGTTGTAAAGGTAACTGTTTATCAATGACATCAAAACTTGAAGGAAAATGATTGGAAATGTTAACTCTGTTCTGTCAGTTTATTAATGATAACTAAAAGATGAACAAGAGAAAGTGTTAAACATATGTCCCAAAACCAAAATATGATCTATGTTTTGGAACAACTTGAATATATCCCTACTTATTACATTTTGTATAAATAAAGACATACTCTGGCTACTGGTCAGTCAGGCTGCAAGATTCTCCCCAACCACCATGGCCTGGCTCATTTCCTTCCCTCACCTATTCCTTACATCCCCTGCTGGGACCTGTATCTCTCTCTCTCTCTCTCTCTCTCTCTCTCTCTCTCTCTCTCTCTCTCTCTCATATTTCCCATTTTTTTATTTAAAAACATTGTTTTACATATCTCCCTCCCCTCCTCCCCTGCCCCCCACTAACACCCTACCTATCCCTTACCCTTTCTGCTTCCCCGGGAGGGTGAGGCCTTCCATAGAGGGTCTTCAAAGTCTGTCATATCCTTTGGGATAGGCCTAGGCCCACCCCCTGTGTCTAGGCTCAGGGAGTATCCCTCTATGTGAAATGGGCTCCCAAAGTCCATTCCTATGCTAGGGATAAGTAATGATCTACTACAGGAGGCCCCATGGTCTCCTCACTGACGCCCAAGTTCATGGGGTCTGGATCAGTCCCATGCTGGTTTCCCAGCAATCAGTCTGGGAACCAAGATTATCTCCTTATTCGGGTCAGCTGTTTCTGTGGGATTCACCAGCCTGGTCTGGACCCCTTTGCTCATCACTCCTCCTTCCCTGTAACTGGATTCCAGTTCAGTTCAGTGTTTAGCTGTGGGTGTCTGCTTCTACTTCCGTCAGCTGCTGGATGAATTTTTGACATAGAGCAAAGGATTTCCAGCCTATAATCCACACTGCCAGAGAAGCTAGGAAACAAGGAGAACTCTAAGAGAGTCATACATAGTCCCCGGGGGAAGGGGAAAGGGATAAGATCTCCTGAGCAAATTGGGAGCATGGGAGGAGGGGAGAGGGAGCTAGGAGAATGAGAAGGGGAGAAGAGGGGCGGGTGAGGAGGACATGAGGGAGCAGGAAGGTTGAATCTCGGGAAGAATAGAGGAGAACAAGATAAGAGATATTATAATACGCCCTTTCCGCCGACTGATACAACGAGAGCCCTTATCCAGTGGCTGATGGAAGCAGAGATAGACATCCACAGAAATACACTGAGCTGAAATCTGGAACCTAGTTGAAGAGAGGGAGGAATGAAGATCGAAGGGGTCTGTACCAGGTTGGAGAAACCCACAGAGACAGTTGGCCTGAACAAGGGAAAGCATACCGACCCCAGACACTATCTGGGAGACCAGTACAAGACTGATCCAGCCCCCTGAATATGGATGCTAATAAGGAGGCCCCTGCACTCCAGGGAGCCTCTGGAAGTGGATTAGCATTTTTTCCCTGGTGTAAGAAGGGACTTTGAGAGCCCATCCCATGTGAAGGGATACACTCTGGCCCTGGACACATGGGGAAGGGCCTAGGCCCAACACACGAAGATTTGGTGGACTTTGCAGAGCCCCTGTTGAGGGCCCTACCCTGCCTGTTATTATATATGTTATTATATATATATATATATGTATATATATATATAATAAGAACACTTGCTGATCTTGCAGAGGACTCAGGCTCAGTCCCAAGGAACCATATGTCACACAACCACCTGTAGTTCCATGGATCCAGTATTCTTTGCTGGCCCCACAGGCACTGTGGACACATGGTACAAAAACATGCATGCAGGGAAAACACCCATACACATAAAATAAAAATAAGCAATCTT